AAATAGCAACAGAGATAGTGAGAGAGAGCAAGCGCAGGGAGGAGAGGGAGAAGCAGACTCTGCAGAGCAATGAGCCTGTGCCAGGCTCCATCCCAGGATCCTGGGATTATGACTTGAGCAGAAGGCAGACACTTAACCGAGTGAGCCACCATCTCTACTTTTTAGTATGATGTGATCCCATTTGTTTATTTTAGCTTTTGTTGCCCTTGCCTGAGGAGACTAGTCTGAAAAAATATTGCTAAGACCAATGTTAAAGAGCTTATTACCTGTGTTTTCTTCTAGGAGTTTTATGGTTTCAAGTCTCACATTCAAGTCTTTAATCCATTTTGAATTTATTTTTGTATATGAGGTACAAGAGTGGTCCATTTTCATTCTTTTGCATGTGACTCCAGTTTGCCCAATGCTATTTGTCGGAGAGACTGTCTTTCCCATTGTTCTTGCTTTTTTGTCATCAGTTAATTGATCCTATATGTGTGGGTTTATTGCTAGGCATTGCATTGATCTCTGTATCTGTTTTTGTGCCAGTACGGTACTGTTTTGATTACTATAGCTTTGTGACCTAGTATACTATGAAATCAGGGAGTATGATTTCTCTAGCATTGTTGTTCTTTCTCAGGATTGCTTTGGCTATTCAGGATCTTTTGTGGTTCTACACAAAATTTTAGGATTCTTTGTTCTAGTTCTGTGAAAAAAGCCATTGGTATTTTGAGGGAAGGTGCATTGAATCTGTAGATTGTTTTGAGTAGTACGAACATTTTAATAATACTAATTCTTCTAAACCATGAGTACAGTATATCCTTCCATTTATTTGTGTTGGCTTCAGTTTCTTTTATCTTATACTTTTCAGAGCCTCCTGCTTTCTCTTGAGGTAATTTCATTAACATTTAGTGTAAGGGTGTATGACTAAGATTGTTCAGTCTTGCTAATTGCTAGCATTTCTGGGAAGAGGTTTGGCGGAGGAAGTTAAAATACATGGGTACACTTCAATCTTCTATTTTATCCTTGTCTCCCACTAATAAATGGATTGAATTTGAGAGTAGTTGAGAGCAGATTTTTAAAATTTTCTGGATTCTTTAGCCTCTTATAGAAAAACCCTGTGTACTTACAAAAATTTAATCTTGAAATGAAAAAATAATCTTTGGTAGACTAATAAGTAGAGTGAAAACTCGACTTTTTTGATAATTGTTACTGTTTTTCATAATATTTTATAAAATATATGAAAAGCTTTAAAATTATACATTGAGATTTTTGTCTTAGAATGTTATATGTGAGTTTAGGTAGCGTAACACTAATGCAGTATAAATGTTGTCAGGTAATGTACGATTGAGCAAATTAAGTAGAAATGGAAATTTTTTGGCTTGTTTTTGTAGCATATCTTAGGTAATCTTAGAATTCTAGTCAGTGTTAATTAAGTCTTCCACTTTAGCCACATATAAAAGGACCACCTACTTAACATGCCTTTTTAAATCACTGTTTCAAAAATAACTCAACATAGACAAATTTACACAAATGGTGCTGTTTAGGAAAGGATGCTGAAGGTGTAATTTGATTTTCAAATGTGGGTAAATACAAATAAAGTGTAAATATATTTATGTCATATCAGTCTACCCGTTATTTTCAGGCACATTGCTTTATGCGGTGGTGAGAAAAAGCAAAAATTCCTTCATGGGAACGTCACATGTGTAACAAAGTACAGAACATTGGAAGTTGAAATGACCATAGTGAGAGAGTATACGATCTAAAACATTTCATCATGACTCACCTCAGAACTAAATAGAATAATTACCTTTATAACATTCCTTTTCTAAAAAGTTTGGAAAATATTTGTAAGGCATGTCTTTATTAGTTAAGTAGATCAGATTATATTCTGGATTCTTGATCTATTCAGCTTAATTTCTTTTTCTTTTTTTTTTAAACAGGTTTGTTTTTTTGTTTTAATTTTTTTAAAGTAGGCTCCATGTCCAGTGTAGAGCCCAGCACGGCTTGAACTCATGACCCTGAGATCAAGACCCAAGCTGAGATGAAGAATCAGATGCTTAACCAACTGAACCACCCAGGCGCCCCTTCTTATCTTGTCTATATTTTTCCATAAATTTAATTAAAGTTTAAAATAATATCCTTGCAGGTAGGGAATTTTTTGATCTTCAGAAATAGAATCTGAACTTTCAGCTACAAGCATTGGAACTAAAAGAGTTCAGTTAATCTTTGATTCAACTTTGAATTTTAAAAAGATGAGATAGGGAGGGGGTGCCTGGCTGGCTTGGTCACTAAAGCATGTGACTTTTTTTTTAATATCTCTTTATTTTAGAGAGAGAGTGCGTGCACACACTTGCATGAGGGTGGGGGGAGGAGGGAGAAAGGGAGAGAGACACTCAGGCAGACTCCATGCTGGGCATGGAGCCCGAGGTGGGGCTCAATCCCATGACCCTGAGATCACAACTTGAGCCAAAATCAAGTCAGACACTCAACCGACCGTGCTGCCCAGATGCCTGGAGCAAGCGACTGTTGATCTAAGGGTTGTGAGTTCAAGCCCCATCTTGGGCTTAGAGCCTACTAAGATAAATACATGAATAAAATTTTTAAAAATAAAAAAAGTTCTTTTTCAAATGATGAGATGGGTTTTTCTGTAGTGATGATTTTATTATGGGGCCAGTAATCCAATATGAAAAATGAATATTTAACTGAACTGAATTAGAAGAGTACAGCTCTCTAAAACAAGTAGTTATAGGACTTTTTTCCTTTTTAAAGCAATCTATTTCATAGAGAAATGCATACATTTTTCCTCTAGTGAGAAGCAAGATTCCAAATTCTGGGTTTGAAGAGCCCTTTGGTTTTATGTTCTATATTTTATGTAATATATCTGATACACATTTTCTCTAACCTATTATGTATAAGAGTCCTTGTGCTTAAACTTAGCCTTTTATTCTCCTGTAAATGTTCTTAAAGTAATGTGTAAACTTGCCCAGAGCAAAATATTTATTTGAAGATACTTATGATGATATGTAGGTATCCTTTGAAGGCTGAAAGTTAACTCTCTTTCAGCTTTGTTGAGCTCAGATCTTTGCGTTGCTCTGTCTTCCACCAGAACCACTACTTGAAACTTAAGAGTTTCTAAGAAATCTTTGAAGTACATTTGATGCAAGGTATGTGGAGTTATTTGATCATACTTTGCAGTGCCTTGTTGAGAAAGCAGTATACAGGGAAAGTTTTTAAAAGTTAAAATTAAGTACACTATAAATGCTTTGAAGTGTTTTCCTTTAAGCTGATAGATTATAAGCCTCTTTATTTAAAAGTAGCGTTTCTTGACTTTTTTTTTTTAACCTCGAACTAAAATTGTACTACTTTACCCATTACTACTTTGGATTTTAATTGCCACACAGCAGACCCATTAAGACTATTCCTTATTATTACAGTTTCCTCTTAACAATTATTGAAATTGTATCTATTCTATAAAATATGTTTAAGATGGTCTCTTCACATTAGATAGCAGTTTAAACAAAAAATATCAAATGCAGTTTATTTGGTTTACAGGGTAAATGAATACTGATTAGAAATAAGCTGTTGGGTAAAATAATGAAGAGCTTTATTTTAAATATTAGCTCTTTTTTATAGCTATAAACAAGTTATGTATAAATGTTGGTGCTACCAGAGCATTGAAAATAAAACTTGTTTGTGATAAACTCTGTCCTTGGTTCTCTATCCTAAAATGTAACTGAATGATAATAAAGTGCTATTCATCTGCAGGTGCATTGCTTCTACTTAGTTAAAAGATGGTTGAAAGGACAGGAATTAGTAGCATGTTGTATTAGCCTTTTGTAGTGTATTTTGTCCTAAGCATCTTAATTTCCCTGTTTTGAATGCTAAGTAGCAAGGGTCTTGGTTTAGAACTAATACCCATCATGCATGTAAACGGTATGAAAGAGCTGCTTAGTAAGTTAACACAAAGTGTTCTTGTGTCAGTCCTTGTGGAAATAGATACAATACAAACATTACAGCTGAACTCACGGCAAACTCCATTAAGTAAAAACCTGGCCTCATTGTTCAGGAAAAAGTTTGAATAGAATGCAAGCTCATTTTGTTGAATGTAATGTCAGGCTTTTAGGGACTGTATTGAGGGATAAGGTTTTGTTAAGTTGAGACCAATTCATTAAGTTTTATTGCCTGGTGAGAAGCAGTAATACTTTATTGTAAGACTTCATCAAATATTCATGGTTAAAGAGAAGTAGTAAATGTATTCAATCAAGTGGTCTTTTGGGGTTTTGAAAGGGATTATGAAGTCTGCTCAGCTGATAGTTTTAACATTCATTGAGGTTGTTTAACAAGGGTAATTTTAGTCTCTGAGTTTAATTTTGTTGTCCAGGCTTGTCTCTTTTTACTGTCACAAATCCAAGTCTATAAAAATTGTGTCACATTATAGAGATGAGTGGATAATATATCCATTCATATAAATTATGTATGTCCTAAGTGGGTATATTTTTTAGATTGTCATGTTAATACTGAGTTTAATGTATAAAGGAGTTATGACCTGTCTACTTGTTCATTGTGAGTTTGCAATTTGTTTAGTCTGACTATAGCCTCACCTTACCACTGCTTGTGATCATCTCATGTCTTGGATAATACGGTCTCCTTGACATACATAAAATAATAAGCAGCCTTTTGTTTGGGCCAGTTCAAATTGTCCTGAAAGGATATAGTCAGCATTTTGTAGATATTAGAAATTTCAGTAGCATTGTCCTCATTCTTGTTCTTGATTTCAGGCTACCTGTCTGTTCTTTCTTATTTCTGTATTAAACTTGTGTTCATCTCAGATTTGGGAGATAGTCTCTTGTGCACACAAAACTTATCCTTTCTCAGCTCTCCATGTGTTTACTTCTTTAACTGTGAACTGCAGTTTTGTGATTTTTGTGAGTTTTGTCCATTTCAAAGAAATTAAGCATATTCAACTAAAAGTCAAATTTGTTACTAATTTTTTCTTATGTCTTTTAACCTCTATTCTTTAGGCAGATGATGTTGAGGGGAAAATTAGACAAATCATCCCACCTGGATTTTGTACAAACACAAATGATTTTCTCTCTTTGCTGGAAAAAGAAGTTGATTTCAAGCCGTTTGGAACCTTACTCCATACATACTCTGTTCTCAGTCCAACAGGAGGGGAAAACTTTACCTTTCAGATTTACAAGGTAAAGATAAATCTGAATATTTCTTGGGTAAAAGTGCTCCATTTGCCTGAAACTTGTATGCTGTTCTGTTGTGTTATTTTCAGTGACTCATTTCCAGCTTTAGGAAACAAGTTTCTGTCAGCATTAAAAACAAAGATCTATTTTGTATGTGCGTCTGTGTACACATCTTAATCTGAGACTTCTAAACATTTTCCCACAGGATAGTTTTGTGTTCTACAGACTTTCACTTACCTCTGTGATGAGTTTCACCTGACTTTTCCTGGCTTTTTCCCTAGGCTGACATGACATGTAGAGGCTTTCGAGAATATCATGAAAGGCTTCAGACCTTTTTGATGTGGTTTATTGAAACTGCTAGCTTTATTGACGTGGATGATGAAAGATGGCACTACTTTCTAGTGTAAGTACAGTTCTAAAGCAACAGTAGACCTTATTACCTCCACAAAGCCAGCATTTTAATTGTGGCAGCCCAATTATTGGGACAGTATAATGATATTTTTCCCAGGAAAGAAAAACTATTGTTTATGAGGCTTGAGTTTTCCTTCATTATGCTTTCGGAGACCTTGAGAATAGAGCTGAATTAAATGCTGTTGTCCGTTAGGACCCTGAATGTAGGCTTAAACAGTAAAATGAGCTTTGCCTGTGTTTTCTTTTACTTGCCACCTATTCATCTTTATAATAGGCAAGTGCACTGAAGTGATGTAAAGAGGTCTGATTTATCCAAGTTGCTGCACACCAATTAAGTGAATTGTACATTCAGAACATAGCAGGTGTACCCATTGGGCCCTCACAGAGTAGCTTGCTGACACTGAAAATTCAGTCAGAGAATGGAAAAGAAAATGGACACTGCATGGGAGCGCGACTGTAATTGACCTGCTTGGCTTTCTGTTTTATCTGCAGATTTGAGAAGTATAATAAGGATGGAGCTACGCTCTTTGCGACTGTAGGCTACATGACAGTCTATAATTACTATGTGTACCCAGACAAAACCCGGCCACGTGTAAGGTAATTGGCGGTGTAACACGTGCCTTGTCTTTTATTTCAGAAGAAGGAACTGCTGAAGTTTCCAATACTTGTTATAATAGTGTTGATTTGTTTAAAAAAATCACCATTATTCATTGGCTATGTACTGATTTATTTCATTGTTCCCTTTGCAACTGTGGAAGATTAAACCAATTTTGAGTATCTCAATAATTTTTGGATTTCTTGAAGGTCGACTGAAAATAAAAACCCACTAACTTTAAAATGTTCTTAATACACAGTGATTTGCAGTTTTAAACAGATCATATTGTGGGATATTTTAATTTTATAATCATTTCTTTACTGTAGTCAGATGCTGATACTGACTCCATTTCAAGGTCAAGGCCATGGTGCTCAACTTCTTGAAACAGTTCATAGATACTACATTGCATCTCCTTCTGTTCTTGATATTACAGGTATGTAAAATTTGATTTGTTACTGAAAGACCCTTTCTAAAGAATCTCTTCTTTACTGATTAATTTTGGTTTTGTCAAAAATAACTTATGTTTTAAGTAACAACCTTCTCTTGGGGTATTTTTGGAACCGTGTAAAGATTGCTTATAGTTACATTTTAAGTTACAAGCCTTTGGTGGAATTGGATTGTATATCCAAGTAAGAAGTGCTTTATGAATTGAACAAATTGAAGATAATGAATTGAATATATATTGGGGAAATTGTGGTTAGGCATATATACTTTGTAAGTGTGTTGTGACTTATTTCAGCTTATCTGGCCAACCATTGCATTGCTCAGAGGCCTTGCTCTAATTTTCATGTAGGGGAAGAATATTCTAAACCTTACTGAGAAAGAAGAATCAAGGCAAATAATTCCTGAATAGAATACACATTTCTCAAGGCATGTGTTTTTTATTCCTAAAATGCATGCCTTCACACCAGCAGTTTATAAAGTGAAATGCAAGGCTATTTGTTTTGGAAACATCTTTCATTATGAATTAGCCAGAGAAGTATTGTGAATAGGATGCTTAGGAGAAGGAGAGAGACTCTTCTCTTTAAAGCCATCATTAGATGGAGTTACAGATGATAGTATATAAACATGTGAGTTAGCACAGAACAAAGAGCCCCAGGAACATTTATGTTGTCAATATTTTCTTTCCCCTGAGTAACACTGTTTGAAATTTGTTAACTCAGAAAGTTGCTGATTCAACTGAAAGTCACCCTTTTTTTTTTTTTAATGAAAAATATTATACCAGATATTCATATCCAAATTAGGTATTACATTTTATTAATTCATAACAGTTTGAGCACATTTTTGTTTTTAAAACTATACTGCTTAACACACACTAAAATTTAATTTGTTTAAAAAATGCTGTTTTAGAATTTTATTTTACCACTTTGTATAAAGACACCAAAAAAAAAAAAGTACCGGATATGGGATTAATAAGAATCTAAGTAGGCTTGTGAAAAAAAGGAAAGAATATAAATAGGCTAATTGGCAGATTTTTAGCTTTTCATGTAATGTAGTGGTTTTCCTTATCCAGAGTAAGTAAAATTAAAGTTACTCCAGAAAAGATTCTGAATTCATCCTATAGCTTAATAAAATACTGGAGGGAAAACATTTTGTTTTTAAAAGGGAGTTCCATGTTTATAGAGTTGAATTATTTTTTCATCTGACTTTCATGCTACTGTGAAACGGTTTAGAAATTTGGGAGATAAAGAAGTAACTGCTTAAGTTGGCAGTGACACCTTTACTAGCTAACTGAAAAATTATAGAAACATAATAAAAGTGATGGTACTTCTTTTTAACTAAGCTAAAAATTGTTTAGCTTCTGTTTACTTTATAGAAGTTGGACTTGGTGCTACACGAAGGGACTTTTTGGTGATTTTAATCTGGAGACTTAGAGTTCACAGAAGTAGTCTTTGTCTTCTGTAGTGGGTAGTGTGCCAGCAGGAGTTGTTTCTGTGAAGCCTCTTAACCATTTTCTTCTGTCTACTCCAACTAATAAAGTCCTTGATACTTAGCACCAATTAGCAGATAAAGAATTTTATTTCTTAAATCTCAGTGAAGAGTCATCAATAGTGGTAGCCTTTATTCATTGCAAACTGAAGTCTCCAAAGAGAAAAGGTTAAAAGTGCTAAAGGACTTCTGAATTTGAAAACTAGATACCAGCTTTTATTTCCAGTGTTAACATTTCTCAGCATTATACATTACTAAAAATGCCTTATCAGCAGTTTTCATGAAGATACGTCTTTTAGATTTCCATACCCATTCTTTTTTAAAAAGAAATTACCAGAATTTTCCACTTTTTAGTCATTTTAGTTGCCTGTTTCTCCATTATTTTGTATATATATTTTTAACTTTGTGGATTTTTTTTTTTAAGATTTTATTTGTTTATTTGACAGATACAGCAAGAGAGGGAACACAAGCAGGGACTGTGGGAGAGGGAGAAGCAGGCTTCCTACTGAGCAGGGTGACCAAAGTGGGGCTCGATCCCAGTATGGGGATCACAACCTGAACTGAAGGCAGACATTCAACAACTAAGCCACCCAGGGGCCCCTAACTTTGTGGATCTTCAGCAGGTTCCGGATCTCCCTTTGCAATCCTGAATATTCTTTATATTGACATGGCTTTTTGCATACTCCACACACAGCCAGATATAGTAATAATTAAAAGTTAACATTGATGGGCCTGTGGTACAAGTTAGATAGGTGTTTGTTGTGTAATTTCCACTCATTTTCTTTTTTTTAGCACTTAATTTTAAAGTAAAATACTGGAAGGCAGTTCTTTATATCACGTACATCTTCCTTCTGAAAATGTCACTAACTTAAGATACAAAGCATTTGAGTACACCTCAGTTGTATGGCCTTGTAAATTGAATCAGTGAATTGTTTCTTCTAGAATTATGAAGAGATTTGCATTTGGCAATAGAAACTGATCTTGGGCTGGAGTATATGTCAGTATTACTAATTTGTCAGTTGTGTATTAAGAGCTAATTATAAGTGTCCTTTAAATGTGCCTTATAGTACTGGAATGGAATATTTTAGAATATTATCTATAAGTTTTTTATCCTTCAGTGGTTTGTGCTGTCTCATTTTATATGATTTTATCTCTAATGTAGGACATTAATATGGAGAGGTTTTTTTAAAAAATGATAGAACAAGCACTTAAGTTGTTAGATAATGTATTTGGAAAAAACTCAGTTTTTGATTTTGCATGTCACTATAGATTTATACCTAAGTAATTTTCATCCTTTAAATGTATTGCTTGTTTTTGTAGCACAGAAACAAAGGAATTGAAAGGTGTCACGAATTATTGAGTATCAGTATTTTAAGTTCATTTTCAGTCCGACACTTTTGGTTAAAGTGCTTAAATATTGAAATGTTGAAATATTGAAATGACCTCTTGGACTTGGCCCCTTATATTGTCGGACTGTAACAGCTTAGGTAAAGCTAAATGGAAATTTTTTGCATTTTATTTATGTGAAAATTTCTGATAGGAATGTGGCATGAGTTTTTAGATTTTTCTTAATTATCATTCTTTTTTCTGGGATATGTTTTTTCCTAATCTTCTGAGGTCATATAAGTTACTTAAGCTATCACTCATACTAAATCTTATTTCAAATTGATGTCAGCAACACAGTTCTTTTTTCTAAATCAGTTTAGAAGAGGTAGACTTGGAAAAATTGACATTGAACAATTTCGAGCCTTATCTGTTAGTACTTTAAAAAATTGTTATAAAGAGATGCTTCTTTGAGAATTTTTGTCACTTAGTAGAGGTTTAATTAAAGCAACTTTATTGACATATGATTTCCATACCATAAAATTTGCCCATTTTAAGTGTACAGTTCAGTGTGTTTTAGTGTATCTGCCTAGTTTTGCTGCCATCACCACAGTCCTGTTTTAGAATATTTCAGAGTAAAGAGATTCCACATGTCCATTTACAGGCAGTCCCTATTCCCTGTCTCTTACATTGAGGTCTGTGATCTGTTTTGAGGCAGTTTTTGTAAGTTTCTAAAATCATCTGTTTACATTTGGCTCTCCAGTTGACCCAGTACCATTTGTTAAAAAGACTGTTTTTCCCCTATTGAATTGCCTTGGTACCTGTGTTGAAAATCAGTTGCCCATAAATATAAAGATTTATTTCTAGACTCTAATCATCTATCTATATATGTCTATTCTTAATGCCAGTATCATACTCTCTTGATGAGTTTACTGTAGCTTTATATTGAGGTTTTTTTAAATGATAATGTGAAGTTTAATATGCCAAATACATACATTGAATTTGTGGAGTGTGGTTTGCCTGGGTGCTGCAGAGTAAACAGAAATTTCTTGAAATGATAGATGAGTAAGGTTAAAAATGGATACTGGCCCTGCCCAGGTGACTGGGAAATAGGGTAGGGAGACAGAGAGGTGTGGCTTCAGTTAGAGGGAGCTGGCCAGGGATGAGCCGTGACCCTCAGGGACTCGAAGTATAGTCTCTCTGTGAGTGAGCACCCAGGCAACGCAGTCTGGGTCTGGTTGTTGCAAACTCATCAGTAGCTGACCCCAGCACAACTTCCCCTTAAGGTGCAATCAGCCTGGCAAAACAGAGGTTCTAAATTCTGAAAACAAAACCTTTCCATTGGTTACATAGGAAACACAGTCCTCATCTTTTTGTCTCAAAGATAGCCGCTATTCCCTCCCCAGTCCCCCAGCTCTCCTTTCCCCAACAAATGATTTTTCTGCCAGGAAGATGAAGAGGAGGCCCCAGGCCACCAGGGGGCTTCTACGCTGAAGGGCTGCTTAAATGGCACCAGGGCATAGAGTGGGCAAGACACAGCAGAGGTCCTGGTAATAGGGCCCACTTCCCCCCCACAGGCCAGGCGTACTTATTTAGAGTAAGTGATTGCATTTGTTTTCCTGATAAAGTTGCATCATTTTTTGCTTTCCTTCTTCCTCGTGACCTCTTGTACTTCTTTCTGTTCTTTATGGTTGATCTCCAGCCAGTTGAGGTCAACCTTGGCTTGTTCTGTCTTCCCACTAAATGCATTTTAATGTAATGCTCTTTTGCTTTCTGTCTTACCTTTCCTTGAAAGCTCGTTTGTCTTGTCCAGATCTCTTTGTGTTATTTTTTGATTATCTGTGCCACCCGGTTGTGGTTCTTAATGTTGATGGGCCTTTTCACACCTTTGCTGGTGGTCATCTTCGTCATCCTCGGCTTCTTTCCTTGCTTCTCCTCCTCCCTGGCCTTTTGCTTTCCAGCCTAGAGCTGTGTATCATTTTCCTAGGGGCTCATGTACTTCCAGCTAGGCGTTCATGGCCTCCCTTGCTCCCTTTTTAGGCATTATGGCCCCGGCAGCAGGAGTGCCTCATCCTTTCTATTGAGTTTTGAAATCAGAAAGTATTTCAGTCATGTTCTTTTTCAAAATTATTTTGGTTATACAAGATCCCTTTTGTTTTCATAAACACTTATTTTTTTGTC